CACAGGCGGTGGCTGTTGTGACACGGGCGGTGGTCACAGTGACACGGGTGGTGGTTGTAGTTACAAAAAAACGAACACGCAGTGACATTTTTTTTTGCAGTTACATCATGTTTTCTAATTGCACATATATGACATTCTTGATCACTTTTTTGCCTCTTTTTAAAAGTGGTCACTTTTTGGGTAATTGGTTCAAAATTAGTAATATCCAAGTAAAAACCCCCAAATTGGGGTACAAAATGAGGTACGTATAGCAAGGTTGAAAATCCTAAATCCTTACCCAGAATACTTGCCGGACACGTTTAAGAGATTCGATTCAAGGGCTTCTAAAGATCCTAATTTGAATAGTAATAAAGGGACTAAAGGACACGCGATTCTGATAAATTTGAAGAATTTATCAGAATCGGTGATGGAAAATTGCAGCTTATTGGTTCAGATGTGCATCGAAGCGGCCAGTGAGAACCATGATGTCATCGAGGTATGGAGGAGACAGCGGCGCACTCTGGAGCGCTTGCCTTCTCACCTTGCCAACCTTCTCCTCCACCGCCTGCTCCGCCGTCGTCTCCTCTTCCCTTCTTTACTCGAGTAAATATCTCGCTTGATTCTTTATCTGTCCTTGTCTACATGTTTCTCAACTGAGAATCTGAAAATACTTGTCTCAAAATTAGTTCACATGCAATATCAATGCAATATCAATGGGATGATTGAGCTTAAAATTGTTGTCATGTTAGCTTAAAATTGTTTGGCATTTTCCTGGTTTACTTTGTGATACGTCCAAATAGAGCTATAACGAACATTTCATTCATCCAGAGTTCGATGATTAGTAAACATTGGATTGTACTCTTTATCTGTTTTTTATGCTATGGCGTCGTTCTTAAAGATACACGACCGGAAAGTTATTAAATTACTCCGTACCTAGAGTAGATGATTGGAAGTTCTCTATATTGAAATTGATACTCCGTACAATCCTATATGGTTATGTGAGTGAGTTATGAATAATGATATGTCTAGAAATGCAGCATTAAATTTGGAACACCTCCTCTATTTTGAGTATGCAGAGTTTTTAAGTATTGTGTGGATGAAGTAAACTTAAAAGGAGAGAGCATGGTGGATGCAGAATGGATGGCATATTTAGGTGGCTTCCACTACTTGCAGACATTGAATTTGTCCAATTGCCGTAAAATCAGTAGTTCCTCTATATGGCCTTTAACAGGTCTGCATTTCATGTTAATTCTTGAATAAATTTAAAACTTTTCTTACCTTAACCAGTGACATATACTATTATACTTCATATATTAAAGTCAGCTTGTCTTACTCTGTATCATTAATTCATTATGCATTTGTATTACTCCCTCCGTTCCTAATAACTTTGCCAAGTTTGACCGGCACGGGTATTAATAAAGTAAAAACTGTGTGGTTGAGGTTTGTGCAGAGGAGAGAGAATTAACTGGAACCACAAATTCTTTACCAAAAAAGGAAAGTTGGCAAAGTTATAAGGGACGGAGGGAGTATTTTCTTACTATCCTTACATCCAACTTCAACTTGTCCCGTGTCATGGAAAATATTCACCCACATATCAAGCTCTTTGACTGTTCCAGGCATTTCAAACTTGAAGGAACTGGACCTCTCTAATTGCTTAAAGATTACAGATGCTGGAATTAAGCATCTTCTATGCATTCCAATGTTGGAGAAGTTGTGGATTGCAGAAACAAGTATAACTGCAGAGGGAGTTGTACTTCTCAGTTCACTAACAAATTTATCGGTTTTGGATTTGGGCGGACTACCTGTTACTGATGCAGCTCTGGGCTCTCTACAGGTAGATTGTTCTTATCCACACGCTTTTATATAGTTTTCCTCATCCTGTTTTCTACTCTCTTTTTGTAATGAATTTATCTTCTCTTCCCTTTATATAAAAGTTTGATCCCATTGCTGTTTAGGAGCAAACACCAATCATCTACAACCGAACCTAGGTTTGCTTCGAAATTTTATTTCATGGTCACCTCATTGTTTACAATTTATCACAAGAACCCAGGTTTTGGATAACCTAAGTTCACTCGGGAGAACCTATATACAGTGTTGAGAATCTCGGAGATTTTCGGAGTTTAAGTTCTTACAAGTAACTTTGGTATCTTCACCGACTTCACCTTCATCCAAAGTCCAAACAATATTTTACTACATTTAGCTGGGTTAACATGATAATTGCCAAAACAGCATTTTTATATGCACTTGGCTTCCCCCAATTTTTCCTAAAACAAGTTTATCTAAGTTTATTAGGTTTATCTTACACTATCCAAATAAAATCATAAAAAGATTGCATTTGATCGGATGTTTAAATTTGTGTGTCAATGTAGATAAATCTGGTACTGAAAACCTCTTATTGTCCTGATCTACTAGAGATACGTATCCTTCTATGATGTGTGAGATCAAGTTTTGTTATAATATCAGGCCCTTACTAAGCTGCAACATATAGTCCTTTGGGGAAGCTCAGTAACTGACAAAGGAGCTTCTATTCTTAAAACGTTCCGGGAGTTGAGTTTTGTGGATTTATCCTGGACGAAAGTTACAAGGTTGCCTTTTCTGCCCTCCCTTGCTTCCCTGAACATGAGTAATTGTGTTGTAGATTCTTTATTTCAAGAAGGCAATAAAGTGACACTAGAAAGGCTTATTCTATCTGGAGCTACAATATCTGATGCCTCTGAGGTCTTTCAAAATGTTGAAGCGTCTATCTTATCTCTTCTGGATTTGTCAAACTCGTTCATTCATTCCTTCGGTTTTTTGACGTGTATGAGTGCCATAACAGAATTAGATCTCAGTGGTTGTTGCATTGGAGACGATTCAGCTGAATACATCACATGCGTTGGCTCAAGTTTACGCCATTTAAATCTCAGCAAGACAAAAGTAAGCTCAGCTGGCGTGGCTGCCTTAGCTGGACATGTTCCTCATCTCGAAACTTTACAGCTGTCTTTCACTGCCATTGATGACAATGCCATCTCATATATCAGCACAATGCATTTACTGAAGTTTATCAGTCTATGTGGTACAAATGTCAAAGGTACTGCTGTGTTTGGATTCTTGTAGTTTCCTTTTCTCACTTGCGATTCAGAGCCCATTTTGTCACGAAAAATTTGGATGGATCTGCCGAAATTGAGGAAATTGCTAAAATTTCTGAACTATGCAAAGAAAATTTACTACTTTGGGCCAAATTAAATTTCCTGTTTTCATTTTGGAGCCATCCCAAATTTCAGTTTAAGAAAAGAAATACTACGTATGTGGTTCTTATTTCAGTCATTTCTACCCAATTTTCAACCACTTCTTTACTAATCTCGCCAAGCACAAACAAAAACTATATTTCGGGACGGGCGGAGTATGTTATTGATAGAAGAAAAATAAAAACGAAAAAAAAGAACAAAATGGTCATGTCAGCCACTTTGGCCAAGTAAGTACATCCAACATTCATTGTTAACCAATTATGTGCACAATCAATAAATTGGAGGCTACTTGGAAAGGGTTATTTTTTTGTAATGGATGACTGTTGATTTTTTGAAAGGAAAGCTTTTGGTAAAATCCATTTTATTCAAATTAGCGAGTAAAAGCTAGTTGTTCTCCTCATAAGCAGAATAAGGTGATAAAATAGGCTAGTTGTAGTGTTTCTTAAGAATCTGGTTGATAAAAGTGGCTACCAAATAGCCACTGAATTTTGTTATCTAAGCTAAACTTCTGGTTATATTCTGTAAGTCTCCATTTATCCCTCATATTATCTCTCATATAATAATGGCACATGATGCTAATTGAAATTCTTGAATGATCCAGGTCTGATTGACCATGTGCAATCTGGTGAAGGATGGAACTTATCGCTGTCAGCATTACACAGTCTAAATCACTTGGAAAGGTTGAATTTGGAGGAGACTCGAATCAAGGATGAGGCACTAGCTCCTCTGTCAAGTATCTGTAAACTGAGACACTTATCTCTGCGAAGGGGACCCCTAACGGATGCCTGCCTGTACCATTTATCAAAGATTGAAAATTTGATAAACCTTGCGGTTTGTGATGTAGTTCTGACCAATGCGGGGCTCTATTCCTTCAGCCCCCCATCAGGCCTAGAGGTACTTGATCTCAGTGGGTGTTGGCTCATAACAGAGGATGCTATCTTGTCGTTTTGTCAAAAGCATCCTTCCATTGAAATAAGGCATGAGCATGCCCGCCACATTCTTCCCTCAGAGTACAAACTCAACAAGGATAAACGACGACCCTGGCCAGTGCTTAAGTTAAAAAATGAGAGTTTCATCGGTGAGTGATGCTCATGTATATTTTTGTTTAGGATATTTGGCCATTTATATTTTTTTCTGTATGTGTCAGAATTTATGGGTCTAATCCTTCCCTTTTTATGTTCCTTCCAACAGATCAGAGGCTGAAATACAGCAGGGAAGAATTACTAGCCATGAGATTTGCGTCTTCAGCATCTTTGTCATCTAATGCCCTGGCTGACATAAGTCCTGCCGTAGTTGATAGCACCTAGGGGTGTTCATTCGGTTAAACCAAACCAATATTTCATGAAAAATCATTTTTTTGTACCGAACGCCGGAGCAATATAGATCAGTTTGGTTCGGCTATTACAGAAGTTCAGCAGTTTGTTTTTTGTGTATTATATACAACCCCTACCCGATATGCACAACGACAATCTCTGATATCCCAAGCTTACGTGTCATGAATTCATGATCTAAACATTCAGAATTTCAGATGAATGAGTTCTACTCCAAATCTCCAATCAATTTTTTTAAACTATTAGGATACAGATAGAAGTACTTGTTGAAACGAACAAACTCAACAAAGGTTACACAACACAAATAACATGATTCTTCTAGCTAGCCTCCCAACCGTACAACTACAATCTACAGCGTACAAGGAATACTAGAATATCCAAGTAACCAAAAATATTTTAAAAGGAACAAGAATATCACAATTGTTTATTTGTATTTTCATGTTCAATTGAGGTGAAAACAAAAATAAAGAAACCCTGTCCACAACTTGGATACTACAAAATTTGCTAACAATTGGAGAGTTGCTACTTGCGACCCAACTTATTAATCCTGTATAGTATATACTACTCCATCCTGAGGGTTAAAGATTCACACTTTTTAGCGTACAGGGGACTGGGGAGTAGTCACTGCAGCCATTTTGAACAGAATGCAGCCTCTTTTACGGGTCCAAAATGCAATACTGCAAAGTTCAATAAATAAAAATATTGAAATAATTCCTTTCTCTGAATTGATTACGCACATTATCGCCTCTTTTTCCCTTTCTTCCTTCCTTTCACCTCTTTCTCCAAGACTTTGATCCTGTGACTAAGAACAGAGGAAGATGGTGATATTTGTTGCGTTGCAGTTTTGGATTTTTCGACTGGTGGTGGTGAAATACTCTGAGCTGATTGGTTTGCTGCATATTCTTGGGCTGCCGCAAACTTTTTCAGTGCTTCAAAAAATGGCAGTCCTGGTTTTTTATCACCACTCTGGGGTGCGGGGGGCACTATGGGTACACCAAGGAATTTCTTCACTTGAGGCCTTTTAATTACTGATACAACAAGGTGGGGGAAATGCTAAAAATCGAGAAAAACTACATATGTAAAAAAGGAAAAAAACAAACTTTCAGAGAAAGTAAACTCACCCATTCCATACATGAGTGAGAAAAGGTTGGAGGTAACCCAGTAACAGAATAGTGCCTGTAATTTTGTCACAAATCCTTAACATAAAAAGAATTCCGAATTTTTGCGCAAACAAAAAAAATGTTAAATTTTCTTATGACTAAGCACACATATCCTCATTGTGAAAGAGTGTCACATCAAATGTAATCATCTGAAGTCTAAAGAGCGCCACATTGGACTAAACGCAATATCCTCAAAATGGATTGCTTGCTTGTTTGTTACCCATAGTACGGGGTCAGCTTTGCTCATTTATCCACCTCAATCAGAAAGGTGTGGTGTCATAAATCAAATGTTTAACAGATTTGTGTGTAATAAATAAGCCTCATGAGGTGAGCTGGCCCGAATTTAGTACACATTCTGATATAAATGACATGGATATGCAGATGTGTACCAAAGAATTTCAGTTAAAGGGAGGCAAAAGTATAAATGCTCTAAACTACACACAAGTATGTGATTATACAATCATTATTATAATTATATATGGACTGGGGGTTATTTTATTATTTCTCTGTTCATATCCTCTTCTTCCGATCTAGCTACTAGATAGTTTATAAAGTTTAACAACCTTTGTGAAACACATAGAACCAAGATCTCATACGTATAAAATCTTGCAAGATTAACTAACCTGTTCTTTTCAACACATACATGTTTCTCATGTATGCATACAATGTTGTAGCCAGTATTTCAACAGAAAGAGCATCATATGCACCATTAATGTACCTTTGGAAAACTTGCAGTAAATGGAACAGTAAGCACAGCAAATCCCCTCGAAACATTTTTTATGGTTGATGCTGAAGAATTTCCTTCCAACCCTTCTAGTGCATTACACTGAGGAGAGAACAATGTACAACATATCATTGGAAAAATCAAATAAGCAGTTGTATGCTCAAGAAGTAGCTTTATATGGTCAATCTTGAATGGAGTAGAATACTGAAAAAGAAGTTCGACTTTGGCTGAAAACACTCCGTGAAAATCATAGTTTAAAAATGAATTTATTTTGGATATTTTTTTTATTCTCATTTAATTTATTTATTTACTTATGTTTCTAATATAAAGAAAAACATAGGGCAATTCGTATCAGGCTGGCCTGACGGAAACCGCCGTCAGGCCGAGGCCATTTGGGGACCTTCCCGGTGGCATTTTTCGATGAATTTTTTTGAGCATGTTCCTCATCAAGTCTAGTTTGTCAATACGAAAGTTTAGCTGAAAATACAATCGGGAAGGCAGTTAAATAAATTATTTACAAAAACTGTAATTTATATATATACATATATATATATATTATATATAAGCAGTGCAGTTTTGTTCCACAATTTATTTGACTGTCTTCCCAATTGACGTCCCAATTGAATTTTTAGATGAAATTTGGTACGGATAAACTAGACTTGATGTAGAACATGCTAAAAAAAATTCATCAAAAAAATCTACCGGGAAGAACCCCAAAAGCCCTTGGCCGGACGAAGAGTCCTGTCAGGCCGTCTGACAGGATCGCTACTCAAGAATAGCAAATCTAAATATATATATATATTTTTATTTAAAATATTAATCATGTTTCATTTCCTTTTTTGCATTTCTCAAGGTAAAACAAAACATAAGAAGATTAAATTCTTTAGCATTACCCCCCCCCCCCCCCAAATATTTTTTGAGATTCAGACATACCCTAGACTCCTAGAGGATGCGGAAAATGAGAAATTTTACATATGATTGAGGATGATAAACAGAAAATGACTACATCTTAATGGACAAAACCTGACCTCAACTGTGATCAAGAATGTCAATGCAGCCAAAACTGGAAAGATGTACATGCTATCAGGAGTTGTCAAATCAGTAAACCAGAATGCACCACCCTCTTTAAAAGAAGGCACTTTTTCTGCCATGTTACTAATCTGCGCCGAGATGATATATATACATAAACATATTTATTATAAAGAATTAAATATGCAAAACAATGTTGCTCTGAAATAAAGTAATTCGCTGGATACATAGTAGAGAGAAGACATTCTTACGGCAAGGAAAAAGCTGACAAAAATAGGGCCTTGTATAAAAATTCCCTTCATTGCTGTAAAGGGTGTAACTTTATGTCTGAAAATCCACATTCGATACATCATTGTAAGGAGCCTTCATATTATAAATAAAGAAAAATAGTAAAAACTGAATTGGTGGTACTAGAATCAGCGTGACATACTCAATGAATAGCTCATTCATCTTCATACGACCCTCATGCACAACTGAAGGAGACATACCCTAACATTATCCGAAACATTTATTGGTTACCATTAGCTAAGGCACATTTAAAAAACATAGCATATGAAAACATGGAGTGCAAGTTTATAAATTAAAAGACCACAGGTAGTGAACGAAGACAAATTTAATGATCACACAAATAATGTTCACATGAAAAAAATTAATTATATATTGAGTGAGAAGCTCAAAGGTATAATTTAGTGAAGCATTATGGTGGTAAACAATGTGTTCAATCAACTAAGGGCTTGTTTGCAATCAATTAAAAAAAAGTGATTTTGGCTTTTTTTAAAGAAAAAAGCACTTATTTTGCCAAACACTATCAACTTTTACTTCCTCGGTTTTCGTGTAGAATCTACTTTTTACTTTTTCTATTACACAAAAAACACTTATTTTACCAAACACTACCAACTTTTACTACTAATCACTTTTTCGCAAAAAGTGCTTTTATTTAAGCACAAGTGGTTGCAAACAGAGCCTAAATAGGTGAAAAAGAAAATATGATACTCAAGATACCATACCCTATTTTGCATCTCTTCTCTTATCTCATCCAACTTTGGCTTCAAAATCTGCAAAGACTTGTAAGTCAGTCAACAATTTAAAATGATTATGAAAGACTAACATCTAAGAATGCTTATTGCTTATAAACATTAAAGTAATACTACCTCCGTCCCATTTTATGTGTATTAGTTTGACTTGACACGGTTATTAATGAAGTGGTTGAAAAAATAAAAGTTGTGGTTGAGGTTTGAGTATAATAAAGTGAAATAGTGTAGACCACATATTTCTTTCCGAAAGAGGAAAGGAGACACTTATTTTGGGACAACCCAAAAAGGAAAGTAGGACAGGTAAAATGGGACGGAGGGAGTGATAAACCAAAATTTTATTATAAATCCTACATGATTCTTTGTCGATCACAAAAATCGAGAAAAATATGATGATCACATTTATCGTGTTTTCATTGTTCACATTTCTTCATGTGGAACAGGACCAAATGGGACAAAATGAAATGACTTGTGGACAATAAAGCAGTCTGTTGAAGTTGATGGACATTTATGTGTAAGTGTGTAACACACTAGCAAATTCAAAAAGTTACGATGTACTTTGCAAATCAGGCGTGAGTATGAAGATAGTCAACTCAACTTAGCGCATAAAAATTTAGTTTAGGTTGGTACACAGGATTCATCTCTGCAACCAATTGCGTGCACAAATGTGAAGATAGTAAGATACTATAAATTTTCAAAGTCCAAACTTATAATGCTTCATAAAGTTTAAAGTTGACAAGCTAGTGATAAAGGAAGAAAATTCAGAAGAAATGAAATTATCATTCTTAAACTATGACATATTCTTTACAAGCTTAGGCAAGTTTCCAAATGTTTGTAAGGAAATAGCTAGGCACTGCACAGATAAGAGATTCATTACAATATCATTTCCTATATGTCATGCGACAGAGGTCACTTTGGCAGTAGGGGAATAATGGGTAATCCAGAAAGAACTGACATCAAATTCTATTGCTTTAGGTAAGAAAGAAAATGAGTGAAAAAAAACAAAATAATAATCAACTAAAGATACCATTGCAGGAGAACAAAGCTAAGAACCAGGAACCAGAAGAGCAGTGTCAAACTTACAGATAACCTTGAACTAGCTTTCACCTGATGTATCATCAATGGCAAAGTTAAGCATCTAATTAAAAGAGTTGTGCAGATAATTGATGCCCACCTGAATAAAGATAAGCAACAATAAGGCAGAATTCAACATTCTTTCAACCTCAACAGTTCAAAATAATGGAAAGACGGGAAAAAACACTTTACCTATTAGAACTAAGCACTGCGAATGCAAACAAATATGACAGTTATTAATTCATTTATAAATTATAAGTAGCTTCACTGGTACTGATAGTAAGCGTAATCCTCTGAAGTATTCACAAGAATCATTTTATTTTCACTCTTGAAAACAGCCACATAACCACTAGAACTACTATTCATCTACCTCAAAATGCTTATAACTATGTAGTTTTAGAGCTTGTTTGGTTTGGGGATTTCAGAGGGAAGAGAAGGGGATGATTGGTTATTATTTGGCTAACTAATTTAGTAATTTCTATTAGTTAGTTTATACCGGATATAACTATATGATTAGTTAGACTATTAAAAAAGAATGTAAAGGTAGATGATTTCCAACCATCTAAAGGTAGATAATTGAAAAACAAATGTCCCTCCTCTAGTCCTGCCCTTTCATCCCCTCTGAAATCGTCAAACCAAACAAGTGCCTAAAGCTTGAATGAATTTGCTTTACAGCTTCTCTATGAAAATTCCATGAATGATAATGTGGATCCAACTTCCCGTAAAAAAGTAACAGCCTCTTAAATAATCTTACCAATTAAATCCAGTAAAAAAGTGAACGTAGTCAATCAAATATTGCAAGGCAGCCACTGGAAAAAATGAGTCTGCAGCCGCAGTTGCAACTTCAGACACCACTGCTGGAGCTTGAGAAGCCACAGCTTCAACAGCCTTATCAGACAGAACTCCAGCAACATCAGACATGTACTCTATCTTCTCCATTCCCTCACCTACACCGGTCGTAGACATATTCCTCACCAGAGGGACGCCAAAACTCATGGGACCCATTAGCCGCGGAGGACAAAACTTCCGATCTTGACATGGGATTAAGGCGGCGCCAACACACTTTACTCTATTTCCAGAGTTCCAGCGTTGAAGATAGCTTAGAATTATAGGATTTTTCGGGCTGGATTCGGGTTTTCTCCGATCATCGTCACAGTAAATGTGGGGAATTTTTTGGGCAAACAGTTGTTGCTCGTAGAAAAGCTTCGCTCTAGCTGTTATACTTCGTCTGTGAGCCATCTTTTAATTATGCTCCTCCTATACCAAGATCAAACAATAAATCAACGCAATACTACAAACAAATCAAGGACGCGACTAAGATAAATTGGATATACCTTAGAAATTCAGAATTTCGCACGCATAGACAGCAGTAACCATAAAACTGATAAAAGGTTCAGATCTTCATTAGCGGATGCCTGTAATATTGAAATATGCATACGGGCTTCAAATTGGAGCAGACAGTGAACAAAGATGAAAGGGTTTTGGGGTTTAGCCAGCCACAGAACAGCACAATTTCAGACGGTTATTTGCGGGCGTAGTGGATTCCTTGGTACCTTTCTGGGGCTAGTTTAGACTTTTGACATTCACACGGATGTTTGGGAGTACAAAAATGCTCGTTATACATGGGGAACATTCATAATTTTCCAATTTCCATGGATCAAATCCTATAACTCCACCCCAAATTGATGTCTTGTATTTCTTATTTAGATTCTGTTAGACGGTTATGTTTCCTCTTTTAACAAAAAAGTTAAAGTAAATAACTATTTGTACTTCTTTTTTTATGAATAATAAAAGTAAATAGGTGAATAGTACAATAAAATACGGTTATATGAGTCATTCTATCACTCTTTCTTAATATTTGAGTATAAGAGCATCTCCAATGCTATAATGTGCACGGTGCACATGTGGCATGAGTGATAACCACATAAATATTAGCATATAAATTATCTCTCTCCTTATTTGAATGATTTTATACAATTTTGGTAAGTTTTTCCCTGCAATGTCAACAACAATGTCAACATTTAGACGATCTCCTTGACATTGTGGAGAAAAACTTACCAAAAATGTATAAAATCATTCAAATAAGGAGAGAAAGAATTTATTTACTAATATTTATGTGGTCATTTCTCATGCCACGTGTGCACCGTGCACATTTTACCATTGGAGATGCTCTAAGTATAGCACCGACAATTTGGAACCGAGGGAGTATATAAAGCATCAAGCAATTCCAAATTTTTTTACCTTTCTTTCCACTCTTCTATCATAAGAACACATTTCTTCCTCATCCTCCTCCTCATCTTACTCCATCTTCACCGTCATCTTACATCATCATCATCTCCACCTTTACGACTTTACTTTGTTAACGCATCTAAAAAATTGAGCCCCGAAAAATCCACCTCTACGACTTTACTTTGGGAATAATTGAAAATTTGTCGGGAAGTCACCATAAAATTAAAGTCTCTGAAATTTTTGTTTGTGTGGTATATAAATATTTTATGTATATATCATGCTGAATAATGATATACTACGTATATTGTGTGTAATGAAAGACGAAACTGAAAAACTAGTATTACCTCTGTTTCATTTTATGTGTTGTGTAATGAAAGACACAATTATTAACAAAGAGATTGAAAAATTAAAAGTTGTAATTGAGATTTGAGTATATTAAAGTGAAATGTTGTAGACCACATTTTTTTTGGACAACCCAAAAAAGAAAATATGACATGTAAAATGAGACATATGGAGTAACATTTTTTATAATTTAGCCATATACAAAAAATGTACGTATATAGACAATGATTATCTTTCTGTGTCAATGTAGACAGACAAAAATGTTCTAAAATGTCAGGGTTAGGTTGCACTGAAATAAATGTTTGTATACACATACAAAAAAGTATATGTATAGACATTTTTTATTTATACAAACAACTAATGTCTATGTACGTCAATCAATGTGATTTACACGCAAATCAATGCTTGTATACACAGACATTAGCTGTCTGAGTGTAATATTTTTGTGTGTACACTGACTACACTTAATCCTAATATTAGTTGTTTGTCACTCAACCTGGACTTTTCTGCAATACTTTTTCTCTGCGTACAAAGACACCTACTGATAAAAAACCAATATATATGTATACATACATGGTTTCTATGGCAAAATTTTTACAAAATGTTGTGTAGTATTAGTTTTTCAATTTGATTTTTCATACAAACAAATAATATCAGTTCCGACGACTTCAACTCTGGTTATTTCCCTGCGACACTTCGAGTGTCTACAACTCCCATAATAATGATGTAGGTGAAATAAGAAATGACACAATATGACATGGTGAAGATGGAAGGTAATGAAGAAAGGAGATGATTAAGATGAAAATGGTGGAGATGAAAGCTGCAGGATATGGAGATGGTGAAGATGAAGTGATGAAGATGGAAGAGAGAAAAAAGATCAAGGGGGTGTAATACCCCAACTATTTGATGAGATATTTGATAAATACTCCGTATTTAAAATTATGTTTTTTTTTACCATTTAGAAGGTCTCCAATTGTGGAAGAAACTGTGAAAATTGATTTTAGTGGAGGATGAGAGCTCTGCACAGCGTGCACAGGGTGTGGGAACGACGTGCATAAGTTGGGAAACTCACCAGGGGGTGCCGGTGTGCACGACTCGTGCGCACGGCATGCGTGGGTCATGGGTTGGGAAAATCCAATGGAGGGGTGCGCACGGTGTGCACAGCTCATGCGCATGGCGCGTAGGCTATTTCAGTCTAGTTTGACCCAAATTCTATTAGTATAAATAATCATTTTCTTCAAATTCCTTCATTCGGGAAACCCTAGAACGGGCTTCCTAGACTACTTTTCTTCAATTTGTTCATTCTCAATCCATCCAAGACAAATTTTGAGGCCAAGAAAGTGCTAATTCAATCAAATATTCCGATAAATGCGTTTTTACATATTTCTTCTCGTTTCTTCATTTTCGTCAATTTCTCTCTCCTAATTTGTAACCCCAGAACCATATATATTCACAGGGTTGTGTGTGTGACCTCTCAAGCAAGGATTCACATTTAGATTTCCTTGCTAGCCCCGAGTTAAGTACTATGTTAACCAAAATATTATTTAAGGTTTGAGCTATAATTTGAGTTTCTTTATGAATTTTTATGTGTGATTCGGCTATGTTGGACCTATATGAGCATGATATGATTTTCTGAGAATTTCGGAATGTAAAAAATTTGAGTAAAATAATTACTCAATTTACTATAGTCGAAATTGTGAATTGTAAGAAATTATTATTTTGATTTGAAAAATTATGAAGATTATTGGGGACAAATTATATAGTTTTATATGTATAATTTGGTATGAATATTTAAATATATATTCTGGATTTTTAAATGTCCCTATTGGATTATTTTGATTATCATATTATATACTACATATTATTTTGGAACTAGTTTTGGGGGTAAATTAAACCCTAATTTGCGAATAATGACTTTGAACTTGATATGTTGTGCATATATTCATATAATTTTTAGATGTGCATATTACTCAGATATTTTGAGAAAGTGTTTGAGACTGAGATCAAATTATTTTTGATTGAAATATGAACAACGATTTCATAACATTGAGTGTCCTGTAGAGATTGTTGGGGTGCTAGTGGGTTAGGGCTGCTACTACAAGTTGCGGTCAATAAAGTCGGAATCATCAAAACACCAAACCATCCAATGTAAAGACGATTTTCAGTGCTAGTTATCCAATTACAGAAACAACCCCATAAGCTTTGGGTTTCGCGTCTCTCTAAAACTGCAGTCATGATCAATTCTTGGTTGATTTAATAATCAGTGACTACCTTTAGTTAGATTGTTTGACACGTGTGAGTGATTCGGTAGACATACTAGACATTAGGATGTAATCATCCTTTACTTTGTCAGGATTTATTCATATTTGTAAGTAATCAGTAGAAACATATTCTGACTACTTACAATTCTTACTACTCGGAAGTTTAAATTCCTTTTAGAGGGTGCACACGCACACTTAAGGTAGGTATCTAGCTTCCATTATTTGTGACCGTTGCGATCTGCAATTCTTGGGGAGTCATTGGGGTTGCGATGACCTACGCGCTTGCTGGGCTCGAGGAATCTTGAGTTTTGCCCATCGCTTAAAAATTAATTAAGATTTGAGAAACTATTTGATTGTGAGATAAACCTGAGAATGAGCTTGTTTTCAAAGAAGTATTTTATACTACCTTGTTACTATATTAGTTATTTTAAAGTTTATGAGAATAAGGTTATTATAAATGTTTTGACTAAGATATGACAACATTGGAAATTACTAGTATTTTACTAAAGCGTAACTAATATTTTTAAGACAAATGTAGTATTTTGGAAAACTACAGATTTTCGAACTATAGTCACGTATAAAAACTACTTTTGCAAACTATATTATTTTACGGAATTGAGTGAGTCTTACTTAGATCTAAAGCTAATTTTTGTCTCCTTTTCTTTTGTACTTTTTTATGCACTTTATTTGATGCAGGTGATGATGGTTGTGATCGATGATGAGAGATGTGTTAGATCACATAGATTATTAGTTATTAATCAACTAGTTGCTTTCTATTTTAGTTTTGGGAACTCGCAGACACTTAAACCGTTTTGAGATTTGAGCACTTAATTACTTGAATTATTTTTGTTTTTTGTTTAGTCTGGGCATTGGGTTAAGGGATAACCGGATGTGACAGTAACACCTATTGACTATTTTTATTCCACCGCAACTTAATTAAGTTCTTTTGAACTTCAATGTTTTTTTTTTGGAATTCTTTCTAAACTTGATATAACCAACATTTATTTTAGGTATAAATTTGGGGATGGTACAAGGGGAGATCGTATGGATGAAGAGAAGGAGATGAGTAGGAGAGAAGAATGGAGGAGAGAGGGAGGAGGTAAATGGATGATAAATTTTGATGATTATATAGGGTGTACATACACCAAGTATTTTTGTTTATTTTACTCCTCCCTCTTTCCTTCCTTTTTCTCTCCTCTCCATCTATATAGTTCTCTCCCCCTTTCATTTTTATTCCTTAGCTTAATAGCTTCCATGTATATTCACCATGACATATTGAATCATATTTTATCTTACATATTTCTTATCATCGGAGCTGTAGTCATCTGAAGTATCACAAAAAAAAAAAATAACGGGAGTTGAAGTCTCTAAAAATGATATAATTTGTCAGTATGAAAAATGAAACTGAAGAACTAATAGCACTTTGTAAAATATGTCATAGAAAAAATGCATGTATACATGCACTTATTTTAATTTCTATCAGTGTCTGTGTTCACAGACAAAAAAATATTACAAAGAAGTCGAGGTTAGGTGCCACAAAAACCGATGCTTGTGTACATAGACAAAAAAGTGTATGGGTACAAACACTTGCTTGCACAGACAACAAATATCAAGGTTATGTTATCCCTTCAAAAGTGTGTAAGTATCCATTTTTTGTGTACATATACATGTGTTACACACATACAACTAATGTATGTGCGTGTACACTGACAATTATTTGTGTCTATTTTCATTT